TGCTTTACATAAGATGACCTTCTGTTAGCAAGAGAACAAATTGTAACTTTGTATTCTTTGCCTTTATAAACCCCTGACTGAGGTGGCTGGGCTCCCAATTCCTGAATCCCAAATCCTAGGTGTAGTCCTGGGGCCAGTATTTGTATAAAAGCATCCATTGTCTTCGTTAATACTTATTAATGGGTAGATGTGATTCTCTGAACAACTGCAGACCCACTAAACGGGAAGCCTTCTCTAACACCTATCTCTCTGTCCTCAAGCCGGTGCGTCCTGAGTAACCACACAGACAATGCTCCACTGAGGCACTCACGTACCACATGAGCTGGTTGGAAAGAAAATGTCCTCCAAAGGTGGTAGCACTATGAGAAGGTGCAGCTTTGTTGCAATAGGTGTGACCTTGTTGGAGGAAATGCGTCACCCTGGGGGTGCACTTTGAGGGGTCATATATGCTCAAGCCACACCCACTTCCTGTTGCCAGCCAATCAAGATGTAGCACTCTCAGCTCCAGCACCGAGTCTGCCTGCGGGCCACCATGTCCCTCCATGATGATAATGGACTACACCTCTGAGACCGTATGCGGCTCCAATGAAATGTTTTCCTTTATAAGAGGTGTCATGGTCATAGTGTCTCTTCACAGCAACAGAAACCCTAAGACAGAAGCTGGTACCAGAAGTACCAGTGTTGCTGTAATAGGCCTGACCATGCTTTGCTTTTGTCTGGAGGAATTTGGACTTTGGGAGTTTGGGTTAGGAAAGCAGTTGGACATTTTAAGTGCTGCTTAACGGGCCACACTAACAGGAGCATGGAAGAGTGATTTGAACTGGGCTGGGCTGGCTCAAGAGGCTTCAAAGGAGAAACATTTTAATGTTTCCTGGAGATCTTTCTTGCCGTATTTTGGTGAAGAATGTGGTTGCTTTTTGTCCTTGTCCAGAGTCTGCCTGAGCCTAAAGTGAAGAGATTTGGATTAATTCTGTTGACAGAGGAAATCTCAAAAGAGCCTAGTATAGACTCTGCCATGCGGTTGCTAGTATTCACATTTATAAAATCTAAAATGAAAAGGGGCAAGCTGAGGAAGCAAAAACAGACATTGTAAAATCTGGGGAGAAAAGGAGTACAAGGAAGTGAAATGGAGCTAAATCCTGTGCTCAAAGGAGATAAACAGATTAAGAAACAGAATAAAGGGAGTGGTAACCTCCGGGCGAGATCCCACCCAGCTAAGTTTCCAGCCTGTGAAGGCGAAGTAAAGGAAAGCTCAGAGCCGTCCCGACCAGACGGTGGGACAGATGGCTAGGTGTGCAGTGACCTCGAACTTGTGAGTCAGAAAACGGAGTTTCTGCATCCCAGGGTCTCCAGCACACACCATGGTGGACTCTGAGAGCTTCTCAGCCCCGGGCTACTGGTTAGCGTGCACCAGCTTCTGGAGCACCAAAGGGGGCGTCTTCCTGCCGGCTGAGAGTGAACCGAGCCTGGTGTTTTCAGTTTGCTTCCAAGCTTCAGCATTAGCACCGTCCTCCGTGCTGGTGACTAAGATGATCTTTGCTGGGGCTGGAGAGATGGCTCAGAGGTTAAGAGTGCTGGCTATTCTTCCAGAGGTCCTAAATTCAATTCCCAGCAACCACGTGGTGGCTCACAACCATCTGTAATGAGATCTGGTGCCCTCTTCTGGCATGCAGGCGTACATGCAGACAGAACACTGTATATGTAATAAATCTTTAAAAAAAATAAAAGGTGGTCTTTGCTGCTGTCTTACTTGTCTTTTATGTGCATGACCTGCACTCCCAGATATTCTTCAACTGGTCAGGAACAGACTTCAGATCCCTCACAGCAGCCATTCTCTGTCTGACCACCTCCACTGTCCTTGTAGAAGGAAAAGGCAACTCCAAAATGCCGATGGGATATTGGGCATTTTTGTTACATTGCTCTTTTCCCTCTAAAGAGCAAAGACACACACAGCCCACAGACAGCCTGGGATCCTCATTCTGCTACCTGCAAACAGCTCCTCCGTCAAAAACTTCCTCTTGGCAGGTGTGGTGGCCCATGCCTTTAACAACCGGCACCCAGGAGGCAGAGACAGGTGGATCTCTGTGAGTTCAAGGCCAGCTAGGGCTATACAGTGAGACCTTGTTCACAAAAACAAAAAACAAAACAAAACAAAAACCCTCCTCCTGTTTCCACAACACTTCTGCCAATTCTCTAACCCCACTGAAAGTGCAGGAGATTAACCTAGAGTCATCTGCATACTAGGCTAGTGCTCCTCACTGAGCTACATGCCTTGTTGGGAGAGCTTTGCCTTCAGTCAACACTCCCAGGTGCGGTCACCCTTATGGGTGACCTAGGCGCCCCCTTGCTCTGCAGTACCAGCAGCAGCTGACATGAGTTCTGCGTGAGCCATCCCCTCACATAAAGGACAGAATGGATGACCCACTACAGATTGCCTTTCCTCTGTGTGGGGTGAGCTGTGAAGGGCTAAAGAGATAATAAACGGGTTGTTAAAATCTACAAAAAAGAAGGGAAGAAAGTGACAGGACTGAGCCGATGCCGTAACAGGCTGCCCAGTCTTCTCTCAGGTATCAGACCTCAATTTCAGTTTCTTGAGACTGAGCAAGCAGTTTCTGAGGAAGAGCCATGAAGAAAGGACAATCAACCTCCAACACCCACCACTGACATGGAGGACATGCAGTACCAGGTCAGGCCAGGCCTGAGTCACAGTCAGCAGATAACCAAACACGGACAAAGCCTGGGACTTGTCCAGGCCTGCCTCCAAATGGAAAACTGTACTCCTGAAAAGCCCCTAATTACGCTGCTGGGATCCGGCTTGTATCAGTCCTACGCTGCAGGGGCCATCTATTCCGGACTGATGTCTTTGGTCCAGACCTGAGTGGGAGAGTGTGGATCAGGGAAGTCCTAGCTACCCAGTGGTGTTAAGGATGAGACAGAGGCATCATGTCATATCAGGAGGGCTCCCAGTTAATACTGGAGACCACAGTTTATTCAAGCTTCCTCTTAAATAGCTTTCCAAAAGCGGGGACACTAGCAGAAGACATCTATTATCATGTATATAAGGCTGACTAGGAAACATTTCCTTTAACCCTAGAGATGGTCCTAGAATGCATGTACACAAGCCCACTGTGGCCAGGCCATCCAGAGGTAACCAGCCAACATCTAGAAGACAGTAGGAGATTCGAGCTCCTGGAATTGAGCTGAGGCCTATACCCAAAATATCATATTCAGGCCCAACATTACCCTTAGTCAATTAGAACAGATTAATGCCGTTGCCACTTGCTTAAGTCAATTATAGATAAAATGACATTAGGCCCTTGTCTATGCTTAGAAGGAGCTCCTCAGGGTCATCCCTATTTTGACTTTGTGTGGGATGGACAGTCCCATCATGCTGGAATAATTAATGCTCTTGCTGATTGCATACATGGATGGTAGTCTTCTGTGGGATTTCTCCAGGACCCTGGCAAAAGAAAAGGAAGGAAGGAAGGGAGGAAGGAAGGAAGGAAGGAAGGAAGGAAGGAAGGAAGGAAGGAAGGGAGGAAGGAAGGAAGGAAGGAAGGAAGGAAGGAAGGAAGGAAGGAAGGAAGGAAGGAAGGAAGGAAAGCTTAGAGCTGGGTGTGGTGACGCATGCCTTTAATCTTAGCACTGGGAAGGCAGAGGCTGGCAGATCTCTGAGTTTGAGGCCAGCCTGGTCTACAGAGAAATTCGAGCTTTGGCAGTGAAGAAAACCATGGAAAACAGAAAGCTGGTGAAGATGTAATTGAATGAGAGGCCACATTCCAGCTCAGCTCGCAGCCCAACTTGGCAGCTTCAGCCACGTGGTTTCAGAGTTAAGGATGGCCACGGAATTTGCTGAGGCCAGGCAAGTGTCAGGGGTGTCCCTGAATGGAGGCCTGGAGAGGGCTGTAGCTTAGTGGTGACGAACTTGCTTAGCAAGTCTGGGTTCCATCCTTAGCACTAGCCCCAAATAAAAATAAAAAAGTAAATAGGGGAGATGAGATAAGAATTGCAAAATGTTTTGCTTTTGCTTTTTCTTTTCCTGAAGGAAGAATAACCAGTTTGTTTGACAACATCAGTGGAGAAAGAGTTTTTTTTTTTTAATGTTGGAGTCTTAAAGCTGGAGGTTTTAGTCCCAAATCCAGGATACCACTCCTTTCTCAGCTGGATCAAAGGAGAAGGCAGTTTAGAGTCACTGACGGGGAAAGAAAGCAGGACCAGAAATAATAGTAGTTGCCGGCTTTCAGGCCCCTGCACTATGGGGCCCAAGCACCAAAGTTGTCCACCCCAACCTGACTACACCCCAGCCCGTGTTATCAACTAGGAACCATCCCTTCCTACTCTCCAGGCGGCAGGGCGGAAAACATCAGCTACGTAAGAAAGAGTATCAGCCTTCAAGAGAGGCTGTCTCACTCACCTCACCTCTGTAATTACACATCCCTAACCCAGTGCATGAAGGGCACTTTCCGCATGCCTACAGCCAAGGGCAAGGGAACAAGCAACGCCAAGCCTTTGCTGCCGTGGGTCTGACTCGCATTCGGAAAGCAATGCCCTGCCTCTGTCTGACTCGCACCCACAAACGTAGGCTTGTGCATACACACAAATGTATGGGATAGTCAGACTCTCACTCCTTGAACAATTCAACTGTGGTAGACTACTGAAGTGTAGTTATACCATCTCCTGAAAGTACTCCCAAGTGCACAGTGAGTGCTAGAACTATCTTGGGTAATACAGGTGTCTGGACCAACCCTAAATTCCATACAACGGGACGCCGAGCTAAAGGTTAACTGACCATTTAACTGCTGTCTCCACTTCTGTAAACAACGCTAGCTTGCTGTAGATCTCCAGAGATGCACCTCACAGTTGCAGAGTTGTAGAGGTTGGGGACAGTCCCATTCACCTTATTCAGGCCTCTCGGGAGTTTTTCTCTTCAAGTACCCCATAACATAACGTCATCACCATGCCTCCAGTTTCTCATCGCAAATAGACACGACAATTCTTACCTCACTGTCAGCTTCTGAGACGTACACAGAGTCTCCCGTTGGTCCCATAGTATTGGCACCTAGAGATAGATCACCAATAAATGGTAGTTATTATAAAACAATACTGACAAAAGAGGCCAGCGTCGGCCCAAAGCATAGCAAATTCCATCTGTCGGCTCAAGGGAAAGGAAAGTACCATCAAATATTGGGATGAGCTGCACCCATCCGGTCTGGAACAACCTTTTACTGTACGGACAGAGAATGTTCCGGGGGCCAGAAGGAGAACAGTGTGGTTTCGCAGCCGTCAGCCTGGGTAGGGCCTCCTGGGCTTGGCCTTTGTAGTGATGGGAAGTGCTGAGTCACCCTGGCCCTGGAGAGGGTGTGGCAGGGCCAGGCCTCCGGGAGAGCTGTCCAGGCCCACTCCATCCACTGGGTCTCCTGACCCACTTAAGGGTGACCTTCTCTTTGTCCCAGCCCTGTTTACACTCCAGTCTCTCACCACTGATCCAGCTGGTCATTTTCCTGTTCTGAGCACTAGCCTCCTGTCTCAGTTTCTGAGGCGGAGCTCAAAGGGGAAGGTGCCCTAACAGACACCTTCACATTACAGGGAGTCCTGGGCAGGAAGAAGTGCCTAAGAAGTGGGTTCTTAGGAGTGAAAATTGAGAGGGAGGAGGGATGGGTCAAAGTCCTGTACAAAACGGGATTGGATGCCAGGGAAGCCAAGGGGAGAAGGAGGCAGGTTCTAGAGGACGGAGCTCCGCCCCTTTGTTCCTTTCCCTACCCATCCGTGCCCTCTGGGAGGAGGTGCCAGGGTTGCAAAGACGGCTTGCTCTCTCTCCTCTGCTCTGGGTTATCTCTATAACAAGTACTTATTTTAGTCGTTAATTGGCCCCGGCTCCATACACTCGCAACTATGAAATGGCTTTGTAGGCTGCACAGCTCTCTAGCACTCAGACGTCAGAGTCAACCGACGGTTGACACTGACACAAATGACTGTCATTGTAAAGAACCCTGCCTTCTCCCGGTGTTAAGTTGACCACTCCCAGCCCCCTGTTTCCTTTTAACTTCACTTCCTGTTTCCTCGAGTGTGTAATGCAGAGTGGTTGGAAGTCTCAGGCGTGAGGACCACGCTGTCAGAGAGGCCTCCTCTGTCACCACTTTTCTTGCAACCGTGGCCGCAAGCCTGTGAAATGAGGAACACAACAGGAGCTTAGAGGTTGAGAAAACAGCAACCACCGCCTTAGCCACGCCCTTCCTCTTGGGCACCAATCTCTGAGATTATTCTTTTGAGCCTGTGGGAACTGCCAGCGCCTCCAGTGATGATGCAGATGACATACCCCCTCACACACACACATACACACACACACATACACACACACACAGACACACACACACAGACACACACACACAGACACACCCCCCACAGACACACACACATCCCCCCCCACAGACACACACACATCCCCCCCACAGACACACACACACATATACACACACTCACACACACAGAAACACACCCACACACACAGGCACACACACATCTCCCCACACATCCCCCACACACACATACACACACTCACACACACAGAAACACCCCCACACACAGACACACACACAGACACACACTCACACACACAGAAACACCCACACACACACAGACACACACAGACACACACTCACACACACAGAAACACCCACACACACACAGACACACACTCACACACACTCACACACCACACACACTCACACACAGACACACATGCGCACACACATACACACACTCACACTCTCACACACACACACACACACACACTCTCACATGCACTCTCACACTCTCACACACACCACCCACACACTCACACACACACACACACACACACACACACACACACACACACACACACACACACACACGGGCTTTCTGCGTGCTGATCACTGCGGATGCCACAGCAGCAGCTGTTTCCCTACTCCAAGCCCATCATCAGTCCAGTTCCTTTGAAGCAGGCACTCTCCCAGCACAGAGTGGGGAACTAAGCTTCCCAGAGGACACTCTGTTACTCCGTCCCCTGAAGTGAGATTCCTTGTCTTGCCCCATGCTTTGAAAGACTTGCCAGATACCCACAAGGTCTTAAAAGTTCTCACTCTGACGTGAGTGCTAAGATCTACTCCTCAGTTTCAGTTCTTAGGTTAATCAAATTTAATTATATTTAAGTTCTTTGTCCTAAGATCTGCTCCTCGGTCCATTAGCTACCATGTCTGGGCAGTCATTGCTTCTTCAGCCTGCCAACGAGATGAACAGATATTATTTCCTTCCTCTAGTTTAATTTTTGTTGTTATTACTGAGAAGCCACATAGAATAATTAATAATTTTTAACTATAAAATGTACGAACCATTCTTTCATTAACAATTCTGATTATAAAGTGACTATAAAGTCATTTTTATAAGATGTAAAAGTCCAGGAAAGTTTAATCATCAACAATAAAAAACCTAATAATCTCACAACCCAAGACTGCCATCATGTTTCCACTAATCTTACTTCTCTACAACTGGGGGTGGAAAAGCTGCTCTTAAAAAGATAATGGAAGCTCCATTTAGTAAGACTGGCACTGTCTTAGCGCCATAGCACATAGATTTGCTGTGTCTCCAGTGTGGAAAGATAGGTGTTGGGAACCCAGCGAGACGACTCAGCAGGCAAAGGTGATTCTTGGCTCTCCCTTCTCCTGATAACCTGAGTTTGGTCCTCGGACCCATATCATGAAAGGACAGAACAGATCACAAAAGTTGTTCTTAGAACTGTATACATACACACACACACACACACACACACACACACACACACACACAGAGTATGTACATAGTAAATAGATGCAATTTTTAAAATATAATTTAAAGAGTAAGTGTTCCTAAGATTGAGTAAGCTGAGTCCCTGAATGGTGAGCTCGTCACTCATCCAAGTGGGATCCAGACCTCGGCCCCCGTCTCATTCCCAGTGTCCTAAGGATTTTCATGCTGACACAGGAAATACCGAGAGGGGTCCGAAGGTGGATGCTGCCCTTGTGACTCAGATCTCCCCAGGCTGCCGTTTAAGCAACAGGAGGAAAGCTTTCTGTGTTCAGACTTTTTTTTTTGAAAGGAGATTTTTTTCTTCTAAGCATTCAAAATACAGAAGCTGACTAGAAAGCAAGGGAGAGATTCCTCTGAAACTCCACAAAAGCAACCAGACTGGAAGTCCACCAAGGAGAGAGGAAATCCTTGACCCGTGGGCCACTTTGAACACTGCATGAGCCTGGGTAATGTCTAGCCTATTGGGGACTGCCAGCTGCAGATAAAGTCACAGCAACAGGGTCCAGGGCTGTGGTCCAGGCATGAATACATGTCAGTAAGGACAGAGACGCAGCTGTAGTTCTCCTGAAAACATCTGGGCGCAGATAAAAGTATATCAGGCTGTCTCTGTATTCATCTCCTGCCATCTTTTGTCATTCAATAAATACCTAAAGGAGAGCTTGTTCACAGGAGCTTTCCTCACTCCTCACACATTTTCAGTACGTAGGTTCCAGACATTGTGTAGGCTGTGTGGATAACTCCAGGAACAAAACAAGGAAGCATGCTGTGTGCAGCTGTTTAGTTGGAGAAGACTCACAAGAGACAAGAACCACAACAGAAACGAGTTGTGCATAGTCCCTTCTTTCATGTGGTCCAGTATGAAGAGGGGCCTTGAGGTGGACACTCAGGGTGGACATCAGTGACGGAGGCATGCCATACTGTGGTTTGACTTTTTTTTTTTTTTTTTTTTTTTGGTTTTACGAGATAGGGTTTCTCTGTGGTTTTGGAGGCTGTCCTGGAACTAGCTCTTGCAGACCAGGCTGGTCTTGAACTCACAGAGATCCGCCTGCTTCTGCCTTCCAAGTGCTGGGATTAAAGGTGCACACCATCACACACCCCCAACCCGGCTCTTTTGTAACTTGCTTTTATCACAGCAGCAGAAAAGCAGATGAGCACAGTGGTGCACGTCTTCAATCCCAGCACCAGGGGGCAGAAGAGACACCTTCCTGTTGAGGTTATTTCCCATTGGTAATGATGGGCGGCAGTGTCTGCGTGCAGTCAACAGTGGGCACATGCAAATACGACTTATTACCGAGTTCCCGACGGAACTCATGGAGTTCCCGACAGAACACAGAGGTTGGGCCTTCTGTTCTTTCAGCAGTGATGACAGCAAGCTTGCCGCCTGCCACAGCCTCCGCAACACAGAATGGCAGCAAACATTTTGAGTTCTACCTATTAGAAATGTTTAAGATTGCTTTTAATTTACTTTTTTTTTTTTACAAACATAATCAGGATTAGCTAACTTTCCAGATATTTAAGGGTCATTGTTTCTCGAGATAGGGTTTCTCTGTGTGGCCCTGGCTGTCCTGGAACTCACTCTGTAAACCAGGTTAACCTCGAACTCATTGCCTCCCCAGTGCCGTGAATAAGGCATGCACCACCATGCCTGGCTAGGACCACCTTTTAAATTATGTTTCTCTTCTCTGAACAACTCCTTCATACCTTTGGTCCTTTACGCTGCCTTTTCGGGGAATTCCAGAACATTCTGGTGTATAACTAGCTCTCCATGTGCAGCAATCCCTTGCCTAGTCACACAGTCTACTTTGTGTGTCACTACTGGGAGCACACTCTTCTTTGTATGTGCTTTGCAATTTTCCTGTTCTTAGCAGAACGGCAGCAGGATGCAGCTGAACGCAGCCAGAGTTGAGCGCACCATCACGATGACTAGTCATACTTTAATCGTATTCCCACAGACCTCAAGCAACGCCTCCTCCAGCGTTCCCAGCTCCCCGGGCTGGGCTTTGCGCTTTTCCCGTCTGCACTTACTGACAGAACAAAGAAACAGAAAATCAGCAGAACACCTGCTGTTTCCCATACACTAATAATCACAACCACCTCAACTGAAGCCCCTCCAACATACCCACTCTCTGGAAAAAGTACAAATCGACTGTCAGGGAGAGAAGCTACAACAGTTAAATAAGTAAATAAAACATGCATCATTAGCATAAGTAGGAGATAGAATAATGCATCATTAATATGTATTCACTGGGGATTGATTCCAGGTCCCCAGAGAATATCACATGTTTTTGGATGCTCAACTCCCTCATGTAAAATGGTAAAGTTTGTAGACGTCAACCTGCACATGGCTTCTTATCTGATTTTAGTCATCTCTACATTATCTGTAATTTTTTTTTCCAAGACAGGGTTTCTCTATGGCTTTGGAGACTGTCCTAGAACTAGCTTTTGTAGACCAGGCTGGTCTGGAACTCACAGAGATCCGCCTGCCTCTGCCTCCCGAGTGCTGTGATTAAAGGTGTGTGCCACCAACGGCCGGCTATCTGTTAATAGTGTATCGCAACAAGAAAAACATCTGCGCATGTCAGCATATGTGTAGTTGTTTTCAGAACACTGTTTCCACAGTTGGCATTGTAATCCGGGCAAACCTGGTCCTGGCAATCACCCACCTGTGCAAGGCAGGCGAATGCACCCTAACTCTTTAAAAGAAATCTCTGTGAGTTCGAGACCAGCATGGTCTACAAGAGCTAGTTCCAGGACAGCCTCCAAAGCCACAGAGAAACCCTGTCT